TCTCCTCGCCAGCCACATTGTACCGGAAATGAGGCACACTTACAACGCCACATGGAAACATATATTAAACATTTCTAAAGAAAAATATCCCTAACACCTTTTTACATAACGCTCTCCTCGCCGGCCACATTGTACCGGAAATGAGGCACACTTACAACGCTGCATGGAAACATATATTAAACATTTCTTGAAAGACCAGATGACCTTCATGACGTCATTCAACTCCCCTTTATATATATCATTCATTCGATTAGACCACCTTTGCCTCTGAAGAAGAAAGGTCCACCTTTCGAAAGCGCTCGAGTTATGGGTTTTTTTTATCATATTGTATCAATACTTCTTGAACCTACGTGTTTTTCTGACATCATTAATTTTAGAATCTAATGTAAGTGTCGTTATGGAAAGGTTTTATTTTCCACGATAAAAAAAAAGAGATTATAGTGAATTATTTTGATATTTTAAAGTTTAATATCCAAGTTAATTATAAGGTATATAGTTACACTGTTTGCCATTTTAAAATAATCATAACTGATATGGAACAAAAATAATTGAAAATAGGCTCCCCAATAAATCCCCCCTCCAAAAAACAACAACAACAACAAACAAACAAAACAAATGTCCATATTTTTGACTCGTTTACGTGATAAAGATGCTCCGTTAGGAGTGGAACTAATTGTGCCCAATTTATCTTTTAACAAATTTTACTTTCCAAATATACTACATTCTAATAGAGTTTTCGCCACATGAAAAAAAAAGAAAACTAGTCTTTCATTTTCTTTAGCCCGGCATGGCCAGGTGGTTAGGGCGCCCGATTCGTAATCCGAGGGTCGCGTGTTCGATTCCCCGTCACACCAAACATGCTCGCCCTTCCAGCCGTGGGGGCGTTATAATGTGACGGTCAATCCCACTAGTCGTTGGTAAAAGAGTAGCCCAAGAGTTGGCGGTGGGTGGATAGGGACGGCTAGCGCAGATAGCCCTCGTGTAGCTTAGCAAGAACAAACAAACATTTTCTTTAGGATGGCCCGTGATTTCTCCAACTTTCTTTTTATAACATAGTTTGTTTTACGTGATTGCGATTTTATTTTTGTAGAAATCGTTATAGGAACACGTTCTGTGTTTGCTAAATACTTTAAGAGTTTGTATATTACCAGCCTCTCCGCTCTCGATTCCACTGATGTTTCGAATTCTTTCAAGTCCTACTTTGATCCTACTGTTCAAAGGACTACAGGACAAGTTAACTTGGATCTCACCCAGCGAATTGGAGTTCTGTATTTTACAAAAGAAAAAAAAAGCAATTATACATTACAATAACCAACCAGTATTTCTACAGACTTCAAGCTAGAATATAATCGTTAAAAGACAATTACGATATGCAGTAGGAATCTTGCATTTAAATAAGTTTTCCCAATTTTAAGATAATGTGAACTTTGTCACAAAAATAAGCGAAATGCGATTTATTGAGTAGCGTTAAGGATTTTCGTGGATAAGGTACAATTAAAGTTCGAATGATAATTAAAGCGATATTTTGTTGTTTTTCATTATTTGTAGTTCGTAATGGACATTTTGGTAATAAAATTAAGGGAAAAAAATGGCGTCATGAACGTGCAACTTCTGGTTTTATACAACCAGACACTCATACAGTGACAAGGCCAACAAATACAGGTGTTTATTAAGTGGTACAGCCTCTGTGTGAACAGATTGAGGTGTTATTATTGTGGCATATATATGTGAATGTGTTAAACACTGACGCAATCTCTTTATTAATAGGTGCAGGTGTTTAAACACTAGCTCAACCGCTGTATCAATAAGTAGAGGTGTTTAAACACTTACCCAGTCTTTTTATTAATAGGTGCAAGTGGTTAAACATTAACCCAACCTTTATATCGATAAGTACAGGTGGTTAAACACTGACTCAACTTGTGTATTAATAAGTACAGGTGGTTAAATACTGACTCAACCTGTTTATTAATAAGTACAGGCGTTTAACTACTGACTCAACCTGTGTATCAATAAGTACAGATGGTTAAACATTGACTCAACCTTTGTATCAATAAGTACAGGTGGTTAAACATTGAATCAACTTTTGTATCAATAAGTACAGGTGGTTAAATACTGACTCAACCTGTTTATTAATAAGTACAGGCGTTTAACTACTGACTCAACCTGTGTATCAATAAGTACAGATGGTTAAACATTGACTCAACCTTTGTATCAATAAGTACAGGTGGTTAAACATTGAATCAACTTTTGTATCAATAAGTACAGGTGGTTAAACATTGAATCAACTTTTGTATCAATAAGTACAGGTAGTTAAACATTGAATCAACTTTTGTATCAATAAGTACAGGTGGTTAAACACTGACTCAACCTGTGTATCAATAAGTACAGGTGGTTAAACACTGACGCAACCTGTGTATCAATAAGTACAGGTGTTTAAACACTGATTCAACCTATGTATCAATAAGTACAGGCGTTTAAATACTGACTCAACCTGTGTATCAATAAGTACAGGTGTTTAAACACTGATTCAACTTTTGTATCAATAAGTACAGGTGGTTAAACATTGAATCAACTTTTGTATCAATAAGTACAGGTGATTAAACACTGACTCAATCTGTGTATCAATAAGTACAGGTGGTTAAACAATGATACAGCTCTTGCGTTAATAAGTACAGGTGGTTAAACATTGAATCAACCTATGTATCAATAAATACAGGTGGTTAAACATTGACTCAACTTTTGTATCAATAAGTACAGGTGGTTAAACACTGACTCAACCTGTGTATCAATAAGTACAGGTGGTTAAACACTGACTCAACCTGTGTATCAATAAGTACAGGTGGTTAAACACTGACGCAACCTGTGTATCAATAAGTACAGGTGGTTAAACACTGCCTCAACCTGTGTATCAATAAGTACAGGTGGGTAAACACTGACTCAACCTGTGTATCAATAAGTACAGGTGGTTAAACACTGACTCAACCTCTGTACTTCTTGTACTGCTAGCCCTAATGAAGCCGCAATGACGAGACGTTGGTTAAAATAAAAACTTTTTATTATTACCTGGAGAGTAAATGTCATTTTTTTCTTTAACTTTATTGCCAAGATAATTAATGATTAAACAATGAAATCGAATTACACGACTTGATGCTTTATTGGTTAGGTAACAAATCTTATAAACATTTAAACAAAGTAAAGCATAGCAATACAATATTTTTGCCGGATAACAATGTTGTTAACTTTTCGGAGCCCAATTATACATAGTTTCTTCAAGTTTTTAAAATTTCTTGCAAAACATTCGAAAAATCTAAACGTGAATATGAATGTATTTTTGGCGAAGAATTAAGAATGGTTCAGTAAAAGCTATTTCCATCCACTTATTTCTCTTTGTGATCCTGATTGATATGAAAGAAGAAGAAAAAGATTAAAGCACTTATAAAACTAGTTACTGAAGTACACAAACGCACACACAGATATCTTTAATATTATTAGTGGCCCGGCATGGCTAGATGGTTAGGGAGCTTGACTCGCAATCTGCGGGTCGCGGGTTCGAATATCCATCCCACCAAACATGCTCGCTCTTTCACCCGTGGGGGCGTTATAATGTTACTGTCAATCCTACTATTCGTTGGTAAAAGAGTAGCCCAAGAGTTGGCGGTGGGTGGTGATGACTAGCTGCCTTCCCTCTAGTCTTACACTGCTAAATTTGGGACGGCTAGCGCAGGTAACCCTCGTGTAGCTTTGCACGAAATTAAAAAAAACAAAACAATATTATTTGTCGAGTACCCCACTCGACAACTGTACATATTTTGTGAAGTATTTATATGTAGACTGAAGTATTCACAACACTTTAGTACAAAGAATATCATATATTCATTGATAAATGAATTGTTGCATGTCTATGAACTTATAACGTGAGCAACACCTCGAGGTAGAAATGATAATGACAAAATTAAATTATTTCCATCCTAATGCTTACCTGAAAAGAATGATCTAGATCTCTCCAAATAATTTCGTTACTTTGGAGGTCAAGCTTTCCTAATGGAACGTGCACGTGACCTAAAGAATGCCGAACTTTTCTCTTATCGACGTCATAGACGGATAGGCGTAAAGTCTTTTCAGAAACTTGTTCCTTCTTTATCTGTAACAAAGTAAACCTTTTACCGAGTGTCGTGACTACTTCACGTACATAAACAACATAACAACGCGTAGAAAACATTTTAAAGATATAGCGTCTGTATACTTCTATCTGTTCATTTCTTGTTATCATCTTATACCAAATTTCTGGTCATTTTCTATCCTGTGGTCGCTACTTAAATCGTAAAGATGTTTAAACACGTTATTTTACTGAATTTGAGATTTCTATATAAAAACAGGTAATAGAATAAAATAAATCAATTATACAATTAAATATTAACATACATTCTACATGACACACAAAGTCCGTAATCTCCAATATAGAACTAATTAAAACCACATGAAATCTCTACCTCCTACCATGGAGTTGGCAAATCCATTCTGATACAAAGCGCTTGGAGGTAAAACGTGAATAAAAAGTCAGATATTTAAGCCTAAAAGTAATTTATGGTCTTGAAAAGGACGAGGTTAAAATGAAAATATTAGTTTTATTAGAAAGCAGTGGATCAATAATAAAAGAAATTGAATTTTGGTGCTGTGGCAAGTATAGACTATAAATCAGACCAAAACAAATGTACACGACTAATGTAAACACCAGTGACAATTTGTATGTGTATTATCTGGAGGAACTTAAATTTCTTTTTTTTTATACCGGGAATTTGAAGGCTTCATGGAACTTTGGACTCAGAGTCCGTCTTCGGACTTTGGACTGTTGAAAATTCTCTTCATCAGGTAGCAAAAAAAGCTTAACAAAAGGATCCCTCGGTGTCTGGCTCAAGCCCCTACCTAATAAATTCATTAACACAAACATTATAGTAACATATTTAAATGATTTTTTAGAAGTTTTTGTTTGTTTGTTGTTAAGCACACAGTTACACAATGGAGCTATCTATTCTGTGCCCACCACGGATATCGAAACCTGGTTTTTAGTGTTATAAGCTTTCAAGTTTACCAATGAGCCGCTGGGAGGGGGAGTTATTAAAATAAAGCAACAAGTTAGACTTCAATTATAATTTTATTTCATTTCTCAAACTCTGTTCAATATTCATATGTTCTCTTTTAATTTTTTTTTATATTTTAGGGTCCTCGTCTTATAGTGAAAATATCAATTTTATTTTTAAGTTAAATTCGAGGAAAAAGAAAGGAAGAAGCTCTTGGTCTGTAACACAAAAAAAAACTAATAATTTTTTTTTAGAAATGTGGAAATTCTGTTAAATTATCTGCACTCTCATTTGCAAATTGACAAACAACGGTGCAACGTTTGCAGGAATTGATGGAAAGTCCTTTACTCATCATCAATAACCTAAGATACTTTAGGTATTTAAATAATATTTGGCTATCCTGTCACGATTAGTTATTCATAATTGTTCAATGGAATAGCTAAACTAATTCCGATTTTTTTTCCATTCCTCAATAAAAGATCTCCCCTCCCGATGGCTCATTAATTGGTAAGTCTGAGGGTTTATAACACTAGAATTCGAATTTCGATACTTGCTGTGAGTAGAGCACAGATAACCCACAGCGTAACTTTATGCTTAACAACAACCAACATATTGTTACATGTTTTTACTAAGGAAAGGCAAAATTCCCTTGGAATGATGCAATGTGTTTAACATTCAGTTACTTCTAGACATTTTTAATGGGACCATATCATACATTGGAGATAGTTATAACTGTGAAACTATTATTTATTATTATTAAAACATATTTATTCATGATCATCATATTTGAAGCATTTTTGTTTTGATTTCATGTGAAAAATTGCGCTATTAAAACTGACATACTAATGCTAAGTTAAGTACTTATTCTAATAATAATTTTAATTGGTTTGGTTTGTTATGAATTTCGTGCAAAGCTACACGAGGGCTATCTGCGCTAGCCGTCCCTAATTTAGCAGTGTAGGACTAGATGGAAGGCAGCTAGTCATCACCACCCACCGCCAACTCTTGGGCTACTCTTTTACCAACGAATAGTGGGATTGACCGTCACACTATAAAGCCCCCACGGCTGAAAGGGCAAGCATGTTTGGTGTGACGGGGATTCGAACCCGCGACCCACAGATTGCGAATCGAGCGCCCTAACCAAATAATTTTGAAAGACATGCATCTGGGAAGATATTAAATCGCGAAGTATACTTAGAATCAGACAAGAGTTTTAATCACAGACAAAACTAACAGTCAAAAAAACAACTCGTGGTACTTGGAAAATAGTTTTAAGTTTTTTTATAATAATTTGCTGTTATTGGTGAAAGTTTTTAAAAGTTAACTGTAACTTAGAAAATGCTGACTGTTTGTTAGTTTGTCCCAAAGCTGTTAAGTTAATCTTTAACCAGTGCCAGTGTTTCCCAACTTTTTTCGCTGCAGCGCCTCCTTCAGCAAACAGTGAACGCTAATGTCCCCTTCAAATAAATTTTTAATATAAGTACAGAAAGTGGCGCCAAAAGAGATATACTCAGCGAATGGACGTTGCTTGCCACAGTGACTTTTGCTCAAACATGTTGAAAGAAAATCTCCTATTTCTTATGGTATACTTTTAAGAAATATGACTTTGAAACCCTCAAAACTTTTCTGTCAGTCCCTCCTGCCGCTCCCTCAAAGTTTACCACCCTCTTGAATTTGAAGAACGTTCACTAGAGGGCGGCACCACTCACGTTGGGAAACACTGATCTATGCTTTTGAACTCTAATTAGCAGTGTGCATATTTTTTTATTCTAGTATAAGCAACAGCCATTATATTAATAATCAACCTCGAGGCTACAGGTTTAGACAATTAGTCTGCAAGACACAACCAATAATGCTAACTGTGTTGTAAAGTAATGAAATAATTTTTTTTTGTTGTGGAAACATAACGATTTCTTTGTTTGTTGTTAAGCACAAAGCTAGCTACACATTGAGCTATCTGTGCTGCGTCCACCACGGGTATCGAAAACCGGATTTTAGGGGTCATTGGGGGGCAAAACATTTTGTTTGAGGAAACAAAAAAAGTAAATTAATGCATATTAGTATCCTTTTCCCGCCGATCCTCAGCGTAGGTCCGGCATGGCCAGGTGGTTAGGGCGCTTGACTCGAAATCTGAGGGTCGCGAGTTCAAATACCCGACCCACCAAACATTCTGGCCCTTTCATCTTTGGAGGCGTTATAATGTGACGATCAATCCTATCATTTGTTGATGAAAAAGCAGCCCAAGAGTTGGCGGTGGGGAGTGATGACTAGCTGCCTTTCCTCTAATCTGTCACTGCTAAATTAGGAACAGCTAGCGCAGAAATCCCTCGTGTAGCTTTGCACGAAATTCAGCGTATTCTGTCATCCCGTTTGAATAAAAACAAAGAAGATATAATTTCAGAATTAAGTTAAGTTTCTAAGAGGTTTCCGAACATCTAACTACCAAGAAATTAGAGTAATTAAAAGAGGTATAACCTCTAAGGTATCTGTTGGAGAGATGATAAAGTTGTCCACTCACAAAATGACCTTAGGTTTCAATTAGTTTCCAGATTTTCACATTTCAGAACAAAGACCTTTTTCAGCAATGCAACAAGAACTTTCATCGAAAATACCATCACATATTGTATCATATCCAATTCATTACCAATGGTATTTCTGTGAAAACTCACGTGAGAAAGTTTACACCTGTTCCTAGTTTTCGACCTTGGATTTTTCGAAAAAAAGATTAATAAATGAACAAACAAAAGTATATATCTGATATTTTTTACTGACACATTTTATTGAGATATATATGGATTGAATGAACTTCATTATTTCTTTTTACGAAGAAAAAGCCCCCTCCCCCAGTGGCACAGCGGTATGTCTGCGGACTTACAACGCTAGAATCCGGGTCTCGATACCCGTGGTGGGCAGAGCACAGATAGCCCATTGTGCAGCTTTGTGCTTAATAACAAACAAACTAACGTTTCGCCTTTAAGTCTTCTTCAGGGTTTAAACAAAACTGTTTTGTATGAATATTGAAGAAGCTATAAAGGCGAAACGTTGGACAAAGTAAATTCTGATTTATCTGGATAGTCCATAAGTGGGTCAGCATTAAATTGACAGACTTGCAACACTAAAATCTGGGGTTCGGTTCCCCACGGTGGACAGAGCACATATAGCCCATCGAGTAGCTAAAATAATAACAACATCCAAAGTAAATATTCCATTTTTTTAAAAAGAAGAAAAATTTAGACAGTTGCTGAAAAATCGATTAATTATACCAGATAAATGAATGGTTTAAATGTGCACCAAGTTGAGAGATTGTAGGTACCTGGCTGAAAAGCCTGAGTGGCCAACAAGGAAATCTCTCACTTTTCACCCAACATTTAATTAAGAGGAGTCCATTGAGGAGGCTGAAATTTAGGGGGGGGGGTAACATGGAAGGGACTTTTGGCTTACTGATGATTTTGCACGTAGATAAGTGTTTGTCCCAACTGGGTATGCAAAGAGTTAAGCTTAAAAACACAAGTGGATCACATTTTATCCCTGGTCTTTATTTGTTATTTTTAGTAATGCCGTATATAATATTATAGATTTCGCTCTGTTTTATGCTAAACCATACTTCACAGCTAATTTTTTTTATTTTAATGAACGTCACACTCAATCTATTAGGTAGATAATCGGTACTACTTCATATTGGTACTACAAAGAAAGACTAAATATATTATTTGGTGAATAAAAAACATTAATTCCACTACAGTCTAGTTTAGTAAAATGGTCTATTGTGCCTTCTGGTTAGTAAATTGGTAAACTTACCAGGCAAGTACTTGGCCTTAACGAGGTTCACTTCCAATTCCTGTTCTTCTTCATGATAGAGTAAAGAGAACCAGATTCGACCATTAGGGAACGGAGGTTCCATAGGTTCGTCGTCCTCTGAATTTCTGTAATAAATGAAAGAATTGTTTATGATCAAACCCAAGGTTAAAACTTTTTATGTATCTTGTTTCTATGTGGTATGGCTTCTGTTATTTGATGAAAAAACACACAAACTGAAATGAACGAAAACTCACGTTGTTAGAAAAGTAAACAGTGCATGTTTTGTTATAAAGAAAACTGATTACTTTTTTAGGAAGCCTAATCTTAGTCCTAATACAGAAACTGTATTTTGATTTTCGTATTATTGATATCTTTAAACATGCAAAGCTTAAATCGACATAATATATACGAAGAGCGTTGAATTAAGATTAACAAAGAGACATGAGCGTTAATGTTTAATCGGAGTGGTTTGATTGGATACAAAAGATAATGAAAATTTATGAGCACGGATTTAAGGTGAATAATAAATCTACTTTTACATTTAGTGGTTAGTGATATGGATATTTAAGTACAAATTTTTCGGAGCTACTGACTAACTCCGTTTTTTTAAACACTTACTGCATTGAAAAGAAAATAGTCCCCCGCCAAAGTGGATTAGCGGTAATTCTCAAGGCTTATAGCGCTAAAAACCGGGTTTCGATACTTGTGATGAGCACAGCACAGATAGCCCGTTGTGTGGCTTTGTGCTTAACAACAAACAAATAAATAGACACGGAAAATACGTTAACCTTTCTAACTAAAGGATTGCATACATAAGTCATCTTGTTAATTAGATTTTTCCTTTGACAAAAACTACAAGCTTCCGATAATGATCCGCTCCACATTTAGCTTTATGAAAAACACACACACAAAAAACAGTGTCACAGTAAACTATCCCTAGAAGCACGTGGCGCAGACTTTTATCAAACAGTATTATAAAAAAATCAGGAAGTTGTCAAACTTTCATGATATATATAATATTCATAAAATAATGCTCTAAAGAAAACAAACAAACAAAAAATAATGACTCATTCAAGGTATTTGAGCACTAGGCTTACATTAGGTGAAAATAGGGGGTAATTACAAATATATATATACTGAAAACCCTACAAAAATAGGAAGTAATTACAAATATCTACACTGAAAACTCTATAAAAATAGGAGGTAATTACAAATATCTACACTGAAAACCTTACAAAGATAGGGGGTAATTACAAATATCTACACTGAAAACCCTACAAAAATAGGAGGTAATTACAAATATCTACACTGAAAACCCTACAAAAATAGGGGTAATTACAAATATGTACACTGAAAACTCTACAAAAATAGGAGGTAATTACAAATATCTACACTGAAAACCCTACAAAAATAGTAGGAGGTAATTACAAATATCTACACTGAAAACCCTACAAAGATAGGGGGTAATTACAAATATATACACTGAAAACCCTACAAAAATAGGAGGTAATTACAAATATCTACACTGAAAACCCTACAAAAATAGGAGGTAATTACAAATATCTGTTTGTTTTTTTTTGGAGAAAGAAAGAGTTGAAAGCACATTTTCATGATTAAATAAAGCCAGAATCTATATAGTAAAACAACTGTCGTTATATTACTGTCACATTACATCAATAAGTATATACAAATTATTATTTCATACATTTAATCCAAGTATTTCTCTACAAGTGATTTAAAATAGTATTTGATATTACTTCGTAATCTCTAAAAGAACAGGGGGCCTAACCATTTAAAAGACGTTGAAAAGCGAGGATTTTTTCCTTTACTCGCAGAAATATATTTTTGATACTTAATTTGAAAAATATTAGTCTTCGTCTTGTAATTACCTGCCCCCCACAGTAGCACAGCTGACTTACAACGCTAGAATCAGTGTTTCGATACCCGTGGTTGGCAGAGCACAGATAGCCCATTGTGTAGCTTGGTGCTTAAATACAAACAAACAAACTTGTAATTACCGCACCAGTAATTTTGTTTCTATAACATACCAAACCAGACGCTCATGCCCTTTAGAGGAAATAGTTTCCTTCACCCCCCCCCCCCAATAAAAAGACAAAACAAAAATATCAGCTACATTACTCTGCTCATTGGCGTTTCGTATATTTGTCTAAGAATAAAATAAAAAGAAGCACATGCTATACAGTGTTGTATTAAGGACTTGTGCATGAGTCACTATATGAATGTAGAGAGCACGCTTACAGCTGTACTAGCATTCACTCTTCTTTCTCCACGTGCTACTACTGTATATGATGTGACACACAGACATTTATGAAACCACTACAGTAGGCCAGAAAGTGATTACAATTGCATCCATCATCAGGAGCTAAATAAGGAATGAGCCCATAAACTGATTTTAATATAATCGTACATTTAACCAGTTTAAATACTGATATAGACCATACCACCTGCTGCTTCTGTTAAAAACAAAACCCGTTAATTTCCTCTTCTTTTTTTTTACTCAATGCTTGCTTATTCTATTGGGTGAATAGGTGGCATAAATCAAAAGACCGTTGCGCCACCTTCGATGTCAAGCTTTAAATCGCTCAATTATAAAACCTTAATAGACAAAGAATAGGTTGGTGGAGAGAAAGATATTTCAAATGAAATATATATATATATATATATTCATTTGTTCCTACAGATTACTAAGTAATATTAATTTACATGCTTCAGTTACAAATAGAAATGTCAACGGGAATTAAAATATAAGTAACGTGTACTTTGTATTTTCATGTTAAGTTTTGGTATTGTACGTAGAACTCAACATGCGATTTCATAGTGCACTGGTATTACATGTTATGGCCTAACCCCTCATTCAATAACGTCACGTTTAGATCTATATTAATATATGTTTTAAAGGTTTAAGAAAATTGGCTTTTGAAGTATTCTTATAGCTAATCAGTATTTTTTTAATTCAAAGCATATTATCTAAATTCCAGCCAAGCACCACCTGGAGGCAGGAAATAATCTAAAGAGCCGGGTTTTTTCCAGCACTTTTTAGAAAAGTTTACTTGTGTTCAGCGCCCTTCTGCAGTTAAACACAACAAAATGTTAAAACGTTTTTGTCAGCTCAACGTTAATTATATATTCGAGAGTTAGCTTTACTTTTGATTTTCCAACAAAAAGAAATCATTCATAATTAATCAACAAATATGCAATAATTTGATAGAATATCTAACTAAAAATTCACTGATTTGAAAAACGTGTTTATCAAATTTAATAGAGAGTCGAATTACAATGCTTTTTACTAGTTTCAATCCGTGTTTTCACTCAAGAGTTTTGAATTCCTAGCGCTGTGCTAAAAATCCTGCAACATCAACTAGTGATCCTGAAATAAGTCCTGAAAGTACTATAGATCTATATCATTCTCTCTGTTTTAACACTGCTTTCAATGGCTCACTGATAAATCTAAAGACTTATAACACTAAAAACCGTGTTTCGATACCTGTTGTGGGCACAGCACAGATAGCCCATTATGTAACTTTGCGCTTAACAACAAACTTTTACTACTAGTAAGACTCATTTAGTTGATTTTTGTCATCAAGTAGGAAAAAGCGTAAATTAAAAAACTGGTGAAAATTACAAAGTATTATACACAAGATATTTAGTTAAATTAGAATTAGTTGTTGTTGTTTAAAGTTATGCACAAAGCTACACAATGGGCTCTCTGTACTCTACCCACCATGAGTATCGAAACCCAGTTTCTAGCGTGCCACTGGGGGGGGGGGGCTTATTTTGAATCACAACGAAGTTTCTTTGAAACACGTTTATTCTTAAGGGAAAACATAAACAGGTTATAAATATGATTCCAAATTAATAAATAAAAAATATATATATATATCAAATTTGTTTTATTTAGGTTCTGAAAAC